GTCGCTATCTTTGACTTCACGCAAATTTTCGGATTCATTCTATTGGTCATTGTACTACTCTCGGCGTGGTTATCAAAGACCGTCCACAGGTCGCGCGCTTGGTTCAACTTCTTATTCACTTGGGCCCTATCTTGTATTTCTTACCTCGTTACCCTTGGGCAACAAGCTGGAGAAGAGCCGCCTTTCTCGTTGTGTCTGCTGCAGGCGATGTTGGTCTATGCTGCCCCGCCTCTGTGAGCCCCGGCCTCTGCTGTTGTGAGGACTCCTGAGCATTAATTTCCGTCCAGCACTGTCACAGCTGGTCTGTGCTATTTAATCGAGGTAGGGGTGTTTCGTTTACCTGGAGGGTGTCAACGTGCTATACCTACTTGCAGATGTGGCTGGTGGTCACCAATACAGGACCCTCGTCGCGAAAAGAGGGTACATCGCATAGGGATTATAGAGCAGTAAGCGATCACATCCCTTCTGCCAACTTACTTCCCAAGTCGTTGGTCTTAGATTATCGCCGCCCCTTATATCGTCCACTTTATCGTTTGCACTGAAATACTCATCGTGGGTTCCACCCAATGCTGCGGTTCCGCTTAGCTCATTCTTATTCTGCGTACTAGTTAGGTTTGACACATCGTGATCTGGTTAAGCGGAATGGTACAAGCACGTACTGCCATCTAGAAACTGAGCTTCCGTGAGCATCCTTTTGCCCCCGCCTCGATCTATCTCTAAGCTGCGTAAACCTAGTGCATATATCACCTCTGGTGTGACTATTTGCGGGATTTTGATCGCGATGGTCTTCTTTAGTTCGTCGAAGTCTGTAATCTGCTGCGACCCATCTGACTTGTTGGCAGTCTGTACCATCATATACATTCGCAAGCATCTGGCCGCATCACGTCTCGTTCCGGGTCAACGGGTTCTGAACGTCCAGAAGATGATCATTCGTTTTGGAATTTTCTCTATCTTGCCGGTACTTGGATTGCTGTGCGTATGATATATTATATAGGTTTGCGACTGGCACCTCGCTGATGTATGAGCATAGGCTCTCCGTCATCCAAGTTACTGTTGTGTCATCCGGAATTTCAGACGGAATACTGAACATCGCTACTGGAACACGTACGTGTAATTAAATGTATATCGAGTGCGACCGTCTGATGTTTTATACTTCAGTCCCTGTCGAAGCTGCTTTGGTTTTTGGAACGCAGACCGTAGGATAAGTTCTGATCATGTTGACGATCGCCCCGTTTACTGTTCCATAACAGGATATTATGCGTGTCTGGTGGTTCTGGAGAAAACCTATAACCTTGCAAACTTCGTCTGATCCTACTTTGCTTAAGCCAGAGTCATCGACGGATGTGTAGACCACATTTCAGACGAATAATAACACCACTAGAGCAACACATCGTTTGATTATCCTTGAGAATTCGGCTAGTCTACAGGGATTTACCCCGACGTGAGATGGGGGATTCGTGGCAGCAGAGGTTCACAGGGGTATAGGAGTAGCATGTGATGAACAGGGGATAGGGGAACACTCGGAAACACTTCCCTGATCTTTTCTTGGAGTTTCTAACAAGGCGTATAATTCAGGTAAAATGACAGTTAATTGTATAGTGCTAGCATGAAATTCACTGAATCTGCCGATTTTTATGGTCCAGAATTTACTTGATTGGTCTCGACCGGTTAGATCGCGTTCTGCTCATTCCCGACCGCTCCATCCCACAGGGTGAATTTCTGAATTTCTACAAATACCCGTCATCTGGGACAACCGACAGTATACCCACAGCTTCCTGAATACCACAATGACAGCAACGACACCTATGCGCCAGCGCGTCGAGGAGTACATCAGGGCCCTACAGGAGGAGATCGTGGGCGCGTTCGAGACTCTCGACCCCGATGCACCCAAGTTCAAGCGCGATTCGTGGATTCGAGCTCAGGGGGGCTCGGGGCAGTCCTGCGTCTTCGCCGTACCCCCCTCAGCCGAAGCAGCGACTGCGAAGAACACCATCTTGGAGAAAGCAGGCGTGAACATCTCCATTGTCCATGGAATGCTCCCGCCCCCAGCGATAAAGCAGATGCGTGCGGATCATGCGAGTCTGCCTCTACCAGACGACGTCAAAGGCGCCAGCTTGCCCTTCTTCGCCGCCGGCCTCAGTCTCGTGGTCCACCCCCGCAATCCGCACGCCCCCACCGTCCATCTGAACTACCGGTACTTCGAAATAACGGAGCCCACCGACGCATCAGACTCACCCAAAATCCTCGCCTGGTGGTTCGGCGGCGGATCCGACCTGACGCCGTCGTATCTGTACGAGGACGACGTCGTGCATTTCCACAAAACACTGAAGGCGGCCTGTGATCAGCACGGATCGGCGCTGTTCCCCGCCTTCAAGAAATGGTGCGATGAGTACTTCTACATCACGCATCGGGGGGAGACGCGCGGCGTAGGGGGCATATTCTTCGATGATCTCAGTGAGGGGCCCCATGCGCGTCTGCCCTCGTCTTCCGACGGCGCCCGCCCTGCCACCGCCGACTCTATCTTTGAGCTCGTCAAATCACTTGGTTCCGCGTTTGTCCCGTCTTACATCCCTATTCTCGCGCGACGGCATGCGATATCATACACTCCCGAGGAACGCAGATGGCAGCTGCTACGGAGGGGCAGATACGTCGAGTTCAATCTGGTGTATGATCGGGGCACGAAGTTTGGGCTGATGACACCGGGAGCAAGGATTGAGAGTATACTGATGAGTCTTCCTGAAGAGGCGCGGTGGGAGTACATGAGCGACATGGGGGAAGCTGGCACTCGGGAAGGGGAACTGATGGAAGTCCTGAGGACACCGAGAGACTGGATCTAAGCAAATCTATAATGCATTACTTATGTGTAATTAACGAGGTACCTAATAAGCCCACTCCATTTCTAGTTCATACGAAGGTAGCAGGGCAGCAAAGCGGAAAGCAAGCAAGCAGAGCAATGTCCAAGTGCACAACGATACAATCAAGTAATTAGCTAGGAAAGCCTAAACAACCTGTGTCGATATAGAGTACCTGTCTAAAGGGGTGGATCATGCTGAAGCAAGGCGTAAATACGTAGTCCAAGAAGGGTGTTCATCAAAGTCGTGCAATCGTGACCGAAGGAAGAGCAATCAGCAATAGCAGTGTCGTAAGGGTTGCGAGCATTGATACCCATGGGACCCGTAACGGACGCGCCGTAGAGGAGGCGGGAACTTCGCTGGCAGGTTCGTCGTCATTTGAAGGCACACCACCATTTGGACGAGACACTGGTGTGGGCATCAACTGGACATTGGTCGTGGCGGTAATCGTAGCTCCGCCGTCTACAATGAGAGCCGTGCCCATGCCAATGGGGGAAGCAGTAGGTGTTGGAGCAACCCCTCCGGTGGTGTAGGCACGGAGGTAGTTGATTTCGAAAAACGCATCGTCAAAGCGGGCACCGGGGCCAACGACGTTGTCGTTGTACTAGAAACATATCAGCGCTCGTGCATGTTCCCGACATACGGAAGCTCTTACACATATTCCCGTGGGGCCTGAACTGCCGCATGCAGGTGTGTACTGTTCCGGAAGGCCTGCCCTACACCACGCAGCGTGTTTGATGGGGGCTGAAAGAGATGATGAGATACGAAGACTTACCAGCTGCCACACAATGTAATATCGAGGACAACGTTCTGGGCGCTGAAGAACTGGGTGATGTTGCATGTCGTCGACGGGTAGCTAGCAGACGGCGGACCCCATTGGGATACGTCCATCGGCGATGTCGACGTCGCTTGAGTCACAGAAGGCGGAATGTTGGCGCGCTATTTTGGGTGTGAGTGGTTCTGACGTCTCGGAGATCGCGATAGCACGAGGGAAATAGTCGAACTCACACTCCAAAACCACATGCTGTCCATCGGTGTGTCAGTTCGATACCCCGATAGTACGAGTGTTACTCACAATACTCCGGCTACATCAAACTGCACGGCCCAAACACCCCCACCGGCCGCAGCGAACGGTGCACCGAGGCTACCGGGCGACGTTTCTGCGACCACGCAGCCCGAAGGTTCTGAGCAATCGTTCTCGCGGGTGATGCCCATTTGGTTTGGGGGCGTGGTGTGCGTGCAGCCTGGCAGCGTGTGCAGCGCCATTTGGTTGCTGGTCATCAGGTTGATCCCTTCCATTATGCTATGTGTAGGTCAGAGAAGGTCGCGATCCCCAACGAAGGATAACGCACTCGATTTCACCTGCATCTTCGTCAGTGAAAGCTGAACGGTAGGAGTGGTGAAGATGGTTAACCTGTGTCAGGCCACTCTCCCGTCCCCTTCGTCCAGAAGGCGGGCCAAACCTGATGTGCATCAGCGCGTGCTCTTTCGTCCCAGTGGCTTCGTGAGATAACCGACCGAGCATCCGAATGGTAAATGAACTGCATCCAGAATCCACAGGCTTCCGACGCCGTAAGCTTCTTGGGTCGTGATCCGGATAGAAGCCCGCTTCTCGTTGAAAGGGACGTCGTTCACATTGTCCACTTTGAGCACGGCGCGCTGCGCGTCGTTAATGAATACGAGCCCCTGCGAGAACGCATCGTTCCTGTTCAGCCACCATACGTCTCCTACCAAACGATTTTAGCTGTCAATCCGAGAGCTATGAACCAGAACGCCAACCACACACCCAACGTCAAGTTATCCCAAGACCCAAAGAAGTCCCAGCCGTCAAAAAAGGTCTGCCCTGAGTAGTCTCGCACCAAATCATAGGAAACGACCGAAGTCGGCCCAGCGATAGTGGCTACGGTCAACGACAGCAGAAAGCTGAACATTGTCGCCTGGGCGAGGGGGGAAGGGGGGAAGGATAGCACTGCGCAACAGCATTTGGAGAGCATCTTGCATCATATATACCAATCGCTCCTCGCCTCCCTCGCTCCTCCACGAGGGCCGATAGATAGCCTCCCGATCAGTCACTGCCAAAGTTTGGTATGCAGCGTTAAGCGAATAATCGACGTGTGGTAGTCCCAAGAATATGCCATATCTTGTACAACATCGATGGTGAAACGGTATCATGCTTGCCTTCCACTAGTGAGAGCAAGCGGCACGGGTTCGACTCCCGTTCGATGTATTTTTGCTGCATAACATTGGTTGTAATGACTCCAGAAGTCACACGATCAGTATTCAATTCCCACGCTCACATTGGGTTGGTCCCGCTCTTCTCCGTTCTTGAGCTAAACCACCTCAACCAGCAACACTTTTGCCCTTCCCTCCAAAATGTCTTAGTGAGTGCTATACTGCATCCTGCTACGGAGAGCAATCTAACCAGGATTCTTCTTCTCATTTCTCATGCTCTCCTCTTTGTGATGTTGGACCTGGTGCTTGTTACAACCGCATAAAAATCGCGACATTTCCTCCCTTGGGTGCATACTTTCAGCGTCATCCTCGGCCGCGCCATCAAGTCGGAGTACCTTGCGCTGGGTACCATCTTCTCTACCATTGGCGTCGCGTCTCTCTTTACTGGTGGAAAGAAGGCCGAGCCCATACCCGCTCCGGGCAAGTCAATCATTGAGACAGTGAAGGAGGCCGTACCTATAAATGCTGGCTCGAGGTACGTTTCGTTCATCTTCCCCAATATATGGCTTTGCTCAGTTTCATCCCTCTAATACGCATGACTAGTGAGGAAGAGCAATTGTGCGTCTACCACCCTTGTTCCCGCATGAACCTTCGACGTACTGACTTAATAGGGTGGACAGCATCAGGAAATATATCGCGGAAGCAGAGAAAGAGGCGAAACACTAGACGTACCGAAAACCGGGTTGCTTTTGCGCCTTCATCACCTACGTCCACCTGTAGACGAATTCGACATGATCTACCCATGCTGTTGTTTCTAGATGCATGAATTCTAGTGTCCAGAAATTTGCATGTTGACGCGCGTTTTATACCTCAAGCACGGCGTCCTACCGCTACGCTATCTAGGAAATTCTGTTTCTAGCTTGATGAGGTTTTAGGTAAGTGATTTTCCGAGCTCGGTGTGAACTATATATTCCATTGGGTCGTCGGTAAGCACTCCTACGGCGTGACCATCCTTCTATCACATCTTTGTTTCGACTTGGGCGGCCTTGACTGTTCTTGTGACTTTGCTTACCGTGGGACTTATCTACCTATTGCACACCAAAACCTTTCATATACTCCTCCGCCATCAATGTACAACGCGGTCCATACGCACGTTTGTCCTTACACTCCTAGACGTTAAGTTAAACATAGAAGCAGAGAGCGAGGTATGTAAGAAGTCGGTCCACTCGAATAGCTTCTCCTGGAACCCCGAACTAATCCCAATGGCATTGGCTAGATCTTCTTGCTCGATGGTCACGACGGCGTACGAGGTATGTTGCAGCCTCATGCTCGTCGGCGCGACCGCAATGGTGACCATTTTCTTGCAGGCCGTACCTGGGTTCTTCATTCACGACAATCCGAACGTCACAGTTTCAGATCCGGTACCATCGCTTCGCCCGATTGATAGTGACGTCCTCCTCACTCACGTCCTCGTAGATCCCCCCTAGCTTTGGGTTGCTCGACAGTACATCCCCCGACAGATGGGAAAAGCTCTTCCACCAGATCGCTCAGCTGAACAGCAATGCCAAGAAGAGCCACGGCGAGGATGTACAGTTCAAGTTGTTCTTCCTTGGAAGACACGGAGAAGGCTTCCGTGAGTAAAACGATAATTATTCGAGCCGGAGCAACGCTAAGACGATTTCTTCTCGGGATAGACAACGTCGCTGAAGCGAAATACGGCACGCTTGCATGGGACGCGTACGTCTCGATCCAGCCCACCATGTACGATGCTCGTCTGATCGTCCTCCTAGTCATTGGTCTGAGCTCGACGGCGACAGGGAGATTGTATGGGGACGTACGTTCTCCTGTTACATATTCCTCACATCGTATTTAAATAGCATGGTGTCTAGCCGACGCCGAACTGACCCCCCTAGGCATTTCCCAAGCCCAAACCGCGCACAACGCCTTCTTGACGGAATTCTCGAGCGGACTCAGGATCCCCGACGCGACGTATGTCAGTCCTTTGTCAAGGGCGTTGCGGACGTTCGAGATTACATTCGACGGTCTATTTTCTGGGGAACATCGTCGTGAAGACGAGATAGAGTCTGGGGAGAAGGGGAGGGGGAGAATTCAGAAAGCGACCGTCTTGGAGGTGGGATCCCCTCATTGTATGACAATGACATTCCCTGGCTAATCACGTTACTATCTGCTAGGCCTGTAGAGAACAATATGGTGTACACACCTGTGACCTCCGCCGTTCAAGAACATTCATCTTCTCGACGTTCCCCCACATAACCGCGTTACCTCCAAAGTTAGACGAGCACTCGCCATTCCCTTTGACCGAGAACGACGAGCTATGGACGGCCGACGAGAGGGAGACCAACGATCATGTCGCCGCTAGGGTCAAGACGGTATTGGATGTGGTGTTTGAGAGGGAGAGAGGGGACTGTGGGTTTCACCCCCGACGCTGTCGCTGTCGTTGAAGCTGACTTCTTCTCGCGGATGCCTAGTCATCTCGATTACAGCCCATAGTGGGATGATCAATGGGTTTTTGGCGAGTATTGGCAGGCCTTCGTTCTCGCTTGGGACAGGTGGTGAGCGTTACTTCTTTCCTCTTCCTCCTCCGTCCTGTTATGATTGATCCATCTCTTCTAGGTGTCCTTCCCGTCGTAGTAAAGGCCACGCGAGCACATGCGTGTTGAGGGGCACTAGTACACGGGCACTAGTACACGGTATTCCCAGGCTTGCGTTGATTAGTTTTGGGATCTAAGTTAGCAATCATGGCCCCCAGAGGACCGCGTCTTCTGATCCAAGGGTCCCTTCAGCTTTTAATTACTCTAAGTCACCAATATGTTCGACCTCTCCAAAAGCTTGAGCTTGAAGGATGAGAGCTTTCGTGTGACCCATCCTCGGCTACCGTGTGACCATCAGGTGATGAGCACTTCAGGTAACCTCGCCGATTCTCCAACCCAAGGCCATGTCTTGAACTCGTCAATTGGACTGAGAGAATGTCTTTGATAACAGATACAGAGTGAGCTGACATAAATGGTCATACCGTTATTCCTCTGACCTCCTACAGTTATCTGATCCATCGACTTCGGTTGTCATACCTTCGCGATGTAGACGACCCCTACGGCGCGCGCGTTATATCGCTCGATCCATCATTCCATAACAATCCCTACATCGTTGCCTCAGGCCTCGCAGATGCAGACCGCTGGCCAGAAATTGCAGCACCACCGAGTCCTCCACTGAGCGAGGATGAAACCGACCGGCCCTCTGGCTTTCCTGGAGCAAAGCTCAAATACACGCGGACAATCATGGGGAACAAATCAGGAGCAATAGGCTACAGAGTGCACGGAAAGCGACAGTCGGAGTCAAAGAGGATGTCTGGGACGCCAAAGCAAGAAGACGTGCAGAACTTCATATCGGCTGGTGCGCCTGTCCAGGACGTTCTGAACAACGCGGCACCCATAAGCAGCAATCTCAACCAGCAGGGCGCGAACGGGAACTGGGCACCCGCTGCTGCTCTGCCAAAACCCGTAGACGGGGCTGAGCCTGCACCCCCAGACCCTGCTCCGCCTGCGCCGAAAGTGGTGCAGTTTATTCCCAAATTCAAAGGAGCGGCAGAGATGGAAGCAAGGCGAAAGGCAAGGATGGTAGCGCGACGACAGGCACCCGGCGCTGCGAAGCCGCCCCCTATGGCCATCGACTCGTCTGACGAAGACGACCCTCCCCCGCCTGTAGAAGAGAGTCTTGATGACAGTGATGTCGATTCTGATTTTGGTGTCCCTGCCAATATTGATGAAGAGGATGAATTTGACCCGTACGTCCCTCCACTCATTGTCTCGTATGTTTTGCGATTGTTGACATCTACAACAGTGATTTCGCGGCCTCTCGCACACCAGGAATCAACTCTGATAGCCCGTCCGATGTCAACTCCATACTTTCCAGCTCTATCCCATCCACTTCGAATTCCTCTGTCCCAATCTCTCCCCCAGCCCCCCAGCCCTCCCGAAAAACTGACGCCAACCTTACTGTCCCCTCAATTCGTCCACCGCGCCTGCGTTCCAAGGCTTCTACTAATCTTGGATCTTCAAATACACAACCTACCAAATCAGGTGACTCCGACCGCTACTATCCCCCTCGCAAGCTAGACACAGGTGGTCGGATGCGTGACTCCTTCCAGAACACCGAACCCCCGGCACCGCCTGCTCAAGACGTGTTCTTTTCAAGGCGTCCTGTGGCACCGATAAGGCCTCTCAAGTCGGCATTGACGGCCATGCTTGCGTCGACAGCCGGGTCGACGAATCCATTCGCAGAACTGTACGCTGCAATATCCGGCCGAGCTGAGACTTCATCAATAACGCTGCAGGTATTCTTTCCACATTCGCACCAGCCAGACAAGCCAATGCAGCTGGTAGTGAGGAAGGATGCGTCAGTGGAAGAAGTCATAGGGTTTGCATTGTGGAGCTACTGGGAAGATGGATGGTTGCCTAAGCTTGACGAAGGATTATCCGGAGAGGAGGATCCGAAATGGCGGATCAGGCTTTCTGCTATCGGTTGGATTATGAGACTGGCTGAAGAGGATGGCGAAGTGGATGATGACTTTCCGCGTAGGTATTCCGCGATGAGGCAGAACAAACTCGTTAATTGTCTCCTTAGCCCCGGATCGCAACGGGAAGATCCTCAAGTTCAAGGATGCAGATGCCTTTGCTATACTGGAAGCGTCGCATGCCCAGAGTGAGTTCTCCCTCCATGGTGGATGATCGGTGGTAGCTGATCAAGAATCCATAGCTCAACAAAATGAGATACTAGAAGGGAAGATACAGCGCAGACCATCCAGAACTACAGCTGCTGCGCGTAAGGTATCAGACAAGTCTGCTCCTGCAAGCCTGGCCATTCCTACTCCTAGCGGAAGCAACCCTATCTTTGGTTCCAACTTTTCTTCTGCGCCTCTGTCTACGTCCCTTGGACCGTCGTCCTCTGGCCCTCAAATATTCTTACGCATTAGGGTCGCCGATACCGCTGACGCCGTTCACATCTCCACCACTATCAATGTGTGAGTCCAGGACTAGC